CTGTGTTGACAGCACCAAAAGCCAAATGAAGTTGACATAGCTGAAGTTGCATAGCTTAATTTGCCTTTTGCCTTGCGGTGTAGACATACCCTAAGGTTCTACAGCAGATGCTGTTTAACACCTTCCCAGCTAATGGACTGGGATGTATTTCATTACGTAAAGTGATCTGAGTACATCGTAAGGGATTCTTTCCAAATACAGAACCAAATTTCTTCAACATTTTGACCTTTACTGTGATGTAAACAAGTTTCCTTTCAACATATGGAAACTGGCCAAAATATTTTCCAAGGTATCTTTTCCCCCAACTACAAATAATAGCGTCCATTTTTGATCCGTAACCCTACCAAAGTTTTTCCCTCATATCTATAATGTCCCCCATCACTTTCATATCAGTTAGTCACTATAGATATTACTGATTGGCAACTCTTCTCAGTTTCTCGATAAGAATGGAATGTAACAGGTTCCATTTTTTACTTTCCTTTCCTCTGTTTTCCTTAGACTTCTCAGTCTAGCTGTATATGACACCTCGCCCGATCTCAGAGCCTGCCTCACAATTCCCATTCTACCTGCTATTCCCTGGCGAAACTGAGCACATAACCAAAGCAGCTATTTTTCCATCACTTTCTTTAGGCATCTGAACATGTTCTTTGTTGTGACCAGTGTCATGAATGAGCCGTTGTTTCCATGGAGTTGCTAACACTTGTGGCCAGGTCTTTTCCCTGGGGTGTATTTCCTGCTGGTGCCTATTAAGGTTTGCACACCTTAATGTATAGAAATTATTGCTGCATGGAGCACCATCAAACAAGAATTCATAGAGTCTTGTTCATAATTCATGTCTCTGTATACTGTAATTTTTCAGAATGTGAAGAAAGTACAATCTCCTTCACCCATGAGAACAGCCTCCAGTAGTGAATGTAGTATCTCATGTTCACATTTTGTCTCCATCCAGGCAATTTCACTGTGACCATCGCCCTAGACACGGGGCACATCCATGGAGCCTCTGATTCAAGTCAGATAGAACATTCTGCTTCAGAGTTCAATTAATTCTCCCCCACTTCATGTCAGATTCCAACACAACTACCTTCACCAACCCCTCCACCTTCATCCTGCTGGGCATTCCCGGCCTGGAGGCGGCTCATGTGTGGATCTCCATCCCCTTCTGCACCATGTACGTCTGGATCTCCATCCCCTTCTGTGTCATGTACATCATAGCCATCTTGGGGAACTTTGCCATCCTGTTCATTGTGAAGAAGGAGCACAGTCTCCATGTACCCATGTACTATTTCCTCTGCATGCTGGCCGTCACCGACCTGGTGCTGTCCACAACCACCCTGCCCAAAATGCTGGCAATCTTCTGGTTCAATTCCAGGGAGATCAGTTTCAGTGCATGCCTCAGCCAGATGTTTTTCATACACTGCTTCTCAGCAATTGAGTCTGGGATCTTCGTGGCCATGGCACTTGATCGCTATGTGGCCATCTGCCACCCCCTGAGACATTCCACCATCTTGACAAACTCTCTGGTGATGAAGATTGGCCTGGTCATTGTGTTGCGTGGCAGCATTCTCGCACTGCCCTATCCCATCCTGGCAAGGCAGTGGCCATACTGCAGAAGCAACATCATCCTGCATACCCACTGTGAGAACTTGGCTGGGGTGACCCTGGCCTGTGCCGACACTCGCATCAGTAGTTACTACGGCCTCTTTGTGCTGTCCTGTAGGATTGGTCTAGATGTGTTTTTCATCACTCTATCTTATATCCAGATCCTCAGGGCCATCTTCAGACTCCCCACAAAGGACGCCCGGCTCAAAACTTTTGGGACTTGCGGCTCGCACTTTGGTGCCATCTTAGCCTTTTACATCCCAACTCTGTTTGCCTCCCTGACATCCCGTTTTGGTCACAATTTGCCCCTTCATTTCCACAGTTTCATTTCCAATGTGTACCTCCTGGTTCCTCCCATGCTGAACCCCATCATCTATGGAGTGAGAAGCGAACAGATCCGGGACAGGCTGCTTCGGCCCTTTACTTATTAAGGGACTATAATTTTCTCCTCTGGTTGTGGCTCTCAACCAGAGCTCCGTGGAGCGCTAGTTGGTGACATGGCTCTCTTCTCTGAGTCACCCTCTGGCCAATCAAAGAAAGATTAAATTGACCATGTTTTCTCAGCATAACATACTGGGGAATCCATCTGTGTACAACGCAAAGAGTGGTCACCTTTCTAATTGTAACTGGATACCCAATGCACCACCCTTGCCCCACCCGTTTCCTCAGAACCCTGCTCCATGTCTCCTCTTGAGCCCCAGCCACTATTATCTCTTCTCCTTCACGTCCCCACCCTTGTAGTTTGCTCCTCTTCTGCTCCCCATCACTGCTTGGATCTTCTCTTTGATGGGTCCCTTTGGGTGCCACCTAGAGCTGAAGCAGTGCTGGGTCCTGGATCTCTTCCAATTGGGCTGCCTCTTGCACAGAGACATGTCAAGCTGCAGCGTCCACCAAGTTTTTCTCATGCCAGTATTCCTAGGTAGGCAGCTCCCCTAGCTGTGTTCCGGAATACTGTGGGACGTCGGTCATAAAACCACAGCAGGGAGGCTACAGCCAGAACACTCCCTGTTCCTCAGAGTCTCCACAGCTGCTCTGCCCTGCCCTGGTTTAAACCTGACCAGTAAGAATGTGCAACCTTGTGCACCCCTTCTAGAATGGAAGTGGGTGTGCAGCAGCTCTTGTTCATGAGCTGAGACTTTCCCCTTAGCAGTTCAGACACTGCGCAGTGTGCTGGGAAACCGACGCAATAGACATAGTAGCCACACATGGAGAGCTTTGCGGGGAGGTGACATTTGATTCTGATAAGAAATAAAACAAACCCACAATCTCAGCCTAACACTATTGAGGATTTGAAGGGAGCAGCATCACGCCCAATTTAGGCAGCACAGGAAACTTCGCTTTTTCAGGCAGGCTTCCTTTTTGCCCAGGCCTGTCACTACCCCCCACTCAGCCTTTTCCCTCCCCTACTCTCAGGTGCGTTGTCCTAGGGAGAGTGAGGACCCATCGTCATGTGGTTGCACCTTTTGCATCTTCTTCCAACTAACCAGGAGCCTGTTTGCAATGGCCGGGGCCAAGCCGTTCCCATTGTGCAGGGCTGCCTGGGGAGTTTCTGTTGTTCACAGTTCCTAGGTAGGCCTTGGGCTTGTGTGAATTCCCTCACTAAACCGTCACCGTTCCTTGGCCTTCCCATTGCTACACCAGACAGGTGGCGGGCGGGGGGCTCTCAGCCTCCCCACGTTTCAGCAGCACAGACAGAGCTAGACTCCAGACCTGCCCAGGCGGTGCCGGCTCAGGCCCCTGCACAGGCTGTTCACGTTCCGCAGATGGAGCCTTTCAGAAGGGCCCCTCCCACGGCCCCCGTGCACAGACCACACTGGGATTCGGTGCCATGGTGCATACGGGGGTGCCCAGGTGGGATAGTCCCCAACATCACACACACCCTGGTTGGGTTCCTTCTGTTCTGCGGCTGGGACGGGAGCTGCTGCTTTGTTAGCTTTCATTTTTCTTTGGTTCCTCCCTGCTGCCGTCCTGTAGCTGGCAGGATCCCCCCAATGAGTAGGGGCTGGGAGCTGTTTGCAGGGAATCAGGCCTCTGGGGCAGTGCAAGGACCCAGCTTGGAAGCCAGGAGGGCAAGAGCTGAGAAGGGCAGGAGGCTGAGCCCCTGTGTTAGCTGGCGAGGTGGATGCTGGACAGAGACCAGGGTACAGGAAGAGCTGCAGCTGCACTGATCACAACCCGCCAATAGCCTCCCTGCATATAACACACCCCAAAGGAGCAAGGCCAGAGCAATGGCACGAGGTGGTCAACACTCCACACTGGGGTCTCCCTTTACCCTGCTTCCCTCCTGCTACAAGTGGGGTGGGGGCTGCTCTCCAGCCCTCAGAGTGGGAGGCCCCAGCAGAGAGATGGGGCAAGCACAAAACTCTAAGAGGGATCCACTGGTGACCTGAGCCATCCCTGGACCATATGGGGAGCTCTCTCAGCTACAAGACTGATTGGGGGAAGAGGTGAGCTGGGGGCAAATGCTGGACCCTTCTCCTCCATCCATGTATCTGACAGCCTAGAGAGTTTAACAATCTGTGGGGCTTCTTCTGCAGCAGTTCAGTGTTCCCTCTAGGAGTTCCATACACAAGCGGAGTGAGTTTTGTCTTGCGCACCAACACTGAAGTCATGGGCGCTTGTTTGGATGTGTGCCACTGTGTTTGGATGTGTGTCACTGTGGCACCCAAGTTAACTGATATCTTGAGGAAAGAATACCAAATCAAGGGACGGTGAACAAGGTGTGTGACTTTAAATGCTTTTGGTATGAAGTCAAATAAAAAGAATATATTGCAAAATTCTCAGTAGACAACTTCCTCTGTTTATAGCCCTCTTCCGGACCCTGCCCGAGCTGAACTAGATGATCTCTTAGGATATGTCTACACTACAAAGTTAGTTCGAACTAACGGATGTTAGTTCGAACTAACTTTCCTAGGCGCTACACTAGCGCTCCGGTAGTTCGAACTTAATTCGAACTAACGGAGCGCTTAGTTCGAACTAGGTAAACCTCATTTTACGAGGATTAAGCCTAGTTCGAACTAGCTAGTTCGAATTAAGGGCTGTGTAGACCCTGCCTGGACTCTGTGCTGAGGTGACACCGCTGAAGTGAGAATAAGACAAAGGAGAGCTTCTTTCTCTATATAACTCCATGGCACAAACCCTAGGATTGCAAACTTCCAAATCCCACGGTTTAACCTCAAGAGACACTAGTCCAGATTTGCAATTACAACTTCACGCCTTGGTCCCAACCTACAGTAGACAAAATATCAAGGAGTGCACGATACGAGCAGTAGAACACTGAACCATGACATGTCTGCCCAGAATACCGTGCACTTATTTCAGAACTAACCCCACACGTCATTACAACATTGACTGACTCAGAAACTAGACAAACCCTTACTCGTGACGTCCACCACAGCCCCACCACCTTTTAAGAGGGAGGGCAGTTCTAAAATCTCAGAAATCCAACCCCCAGACAGTGTTGGGCCATTGCACTTTTATAGAAGGTATATCAGGACTCATACGAGCGTGGCTGCCTCCAGAGCTGGAACCCTACCCACAGTGGGGTTGCCCCAGCCAGAACAGCCTCACCACACCCTAGCTCACCAGGGGCAGATGCCTGCCATGCAGCTGGGCCACATAGCTACTGCTGGAGGGGGAATCAGGGCAGTGGTAAAGATACCTCAGCAGGGACAGGCTCACTGCACCCCAGCTCCAGCCGGGACACAACGGGGTCAATTGCCCGCCACAAGGCCCTGCCAGAACCCAGCACCACCTCTCATCTTCCAGTAGGTCCAGCAGGAAAGTGCGTGGTCAGTGCTACTGCTCGGCTCTGCATACCACGTGGGCGGGCCTAAACTTTCTTGTACGTGGCCATGCAGGTGCACAATTTAAAGGGAATTATGCTCCTGTCCCCAAGATCTCCTGCCTGCACCGGAGCGCTGACGGCCTGTGGGCATGTTCCATGTTCCTGATCCTGTTCCTCTCTTCCAAGAACTTCCAATGGATCCCCCATGATTTTTCTGGGGACTGAAGTGAAGCCGACCACTCTGTAGTTCCCTGGATTTTTGTGCTCACCTTTTTCAGAGATGGTTGCCTGTTTCCAATTTTCCACAAACTCCCCAGATCACCGCATGTTTTCAAAGATAATGGCCAATGGCTCTGCACTTCCTCCGTTCCCTTGGATGCGTTAGATCCAGTCCCATGGATTTCTAAATATGTCCATTTCTAAATACTTCTCTGGGGCAGGCATAAGGATCTTGGGGAAGAAGGGGGTTTTGAGCAAAACGGCCATGGCCTCTTGTGGAAAAAACTCATAGTGTAGACAAAGCCAGACAGAATAAATCCAGTCCAAACACAAATCTGGGCTGTATTCTCCTACAGGACTCTCCTTGTTCCACCACAATTTTGGGGAGATTGTGAGGCCTCTGTTTCCAGAACAGGCCCCAGCTCCATCCCATCCACAGAAACACCCTGTTTGTGTGATCTCCCCCCAGTGCCTCCCCAGTGACTGTGATGTGTGGGCTGAAGTGGAGACCCGGAGTTCACATCTCCCAGGAGCAGGGAGCCCGCAAACTCCAGCAAGATCTGGAAACCTCACATTACCCTGGAGCGGATGGCGACAGCTCAGCCTCCCCCTCCTTTCAGCTTTTCCTCTGCCTCCCACTCAATGAATGAAATGGAAGGATTGTGAGTACTGCAGGGGAGTCAGGACTCGCGGTTGTCTATCTGGGACCCTTTCACTCAATCTGTCTGACCTCGGACAATTCATGTCTCCCTGCTTAGCTGTATTATGGGTTTCTGTTCACAGTCACTTTCCTTTGCAAGATCTTTTCAGTGTCCTTCAATGAAGACAAATGCAAAGTGCTCCACTTAGGAAGGAACAATCAGTTTCACACACACAGAACGGGAAGCGACTGTCTAGGAAGGAGTACGGCAGAAAGGGATCTAGGGGTTATTGAGCAAGGTGTGTGGTGAGCAAGACACGAGAAGTCATTCTTCCGCTCTACTCTGCGCTGGTTAGGCCTCAATTGGAGTACAGTGTCCAGTTCTGAGAACCGCATTTCAAGAAAGATGTGGAGAACTTGGAGAGGGTCCAGAGAAAAGCAACGAGAATGATTAAAGGTCTAGAGAACATGTCCTATGAAAGAAGGCTGAAAGAATTGGGTTTGTTTAGTTTAGAAAAGAGAAGATTGAGGGGGGACATTATAGCAGTTTTCAGGTATCTAAAAGGGTCTCATAAGGAGGAGGGAGAAAACTTGTTCACCTCTGAGGATAGAACAAGCAGCAATGGGCTTAAACTGCAGCAAGGGAGGTTTAGGTTGGACATTAGGAAAAAGTTCCTAACTGTCAGGGTGGTCAAACACTGGAATCAATTGCCCAGGGAGGTTGTGGAATCCCGATCTGTGGAGATATTTAAGAGCAGGTTAGATGACTGTCTATCAGGGATGGTCTAGACAGTATTTGGTCCTGCCATGAGGGCAGGGGACTGGACTCGATGACTCTTGAGGTCCCTTCCAGTCCTACTGTTCTAGGATTCTATGAAAGGTGCTGCACAATGTGAGGAGAGTTACTGGTGAGAATCATGGGTCTCTGACCCCTTAGTGACAGCCCCATGTGCCTGCCGAAGTGTTAGTGTCCGTCCTTAGTCACCTTTCTCCAGATCGATCTCTTTACACCCTGGGCATTTACAGCATATCAGACCCTTTTGAGACACAGACAATATCCCTCCTTTTCTTCCTGTTCAATTATCATTGTTAAATAAACACAAATGCGTGGAACAATCAATTCCTCCCTGCCTCAGCCCAGAGCCCAGGAGTTCTCCTTGTCCTTTGGGAAGGGCCCTTAATTGTTGTTTACTCCTAAGGCTGGATAATTAGCCCAGAAGCCCTCACAGGCTGGTCTCCAGCCTTTTTCCATCCCGGTGGTCATGTATCCTCTGCGGGCTGAGAGAACCCACTGGGATGGCCCAGAGCTGGGTTATAACCATGCACAGCCCTGTGCCGGCTCTCGGCGCGGGACGCTGCTGCAGATGCTGGGTGAGGGAGGCGTGTGACCCGGCTGCCTGCTGGATGTTATCAGAACTCACAGGAACTATCGCTGGCTGAGGATTCAACCTGCTCGACGAACCCAGAGCAACACAGGATAGAGAGTAAGTCTGGGATCCTTTCTGCTCCGCACAGCCTGTAATAGCCCCTTGCCACAGGGATGAGTTGGCTCCAGTATCAGCTGGCAAAATGTGACACTTTTTTGGGCATCTCTTCCCATTGCCTAGAGCCACAAGCTGTTTCTGCAGCACAGGGTAACATTCAGGTGATCTAGAATCATGGAAAACCAGGGCTGGAAGAGACCTCAAGAATCATCGAGTCCAACCCCTTGGCCAAAGCAGGACAAACCCAACTCAGTCATCCCAGCCAGGGCTTGGTCAAGACGTTAAACATGTCTAGGGATGGAGATTCCACTCCCATCCCAGTGCTTCCCCACCCTCCCAGGGAAATAGCTTTTCCTAATATCATAGAATCATAGAAAACTAGGCCTGGAAGGGACCTCGAGAAGTCATCGAGTCCAGTCCCCTGTCCCCATATCTCACCTAACAGTCCCCCATTGCCACTTGAGACAGTTGTTCCTCATTCTGCCCTCTGCCACCACTGACAACAGCCATCTTTTTTTTATTTTGAACGGTCTCTTATGTTGTTAATAATTTATGTGTAACAGAGACCTGTCTTGTATTTCCCTCCTTTCTGAGGGGGAAGAGATCTCTTCTGCTTGCTACCTAATGGACTGCTTGTGGCTCTGAATGAGAGGTGTGGTTCATAATTCTGGTGTTCATAACTGTAACGTTCTACTGTCAATGCTGCTTAACTCCTTCCTCAGCTAATGGATTGGGAAACGTTTCATCATGCGAGGACAACGAGAAGTTCTGGGGCACCTTATAAATGAACAGATTTATTGGAGCATAAGCTTTCATGGGCAAAGACCCGCTTCGCCAGATACATCTGATGAAGCAAGTCTTTGCCCACGAAAGCTTATGCACCAATAAATCTGTTAGTCTATAAGGTGCCACAGGACTTCTTGTTGTTCTTGCAGATTCCGACTAACACGGCTACCCCTCTGATACTCATCATGTGAGGGAATCTGAGTACATGGTAAGTGCTTCTTTCCAAATGCAGAACAAAACAAAAAAATTCTTGAACATACTGACTTTTTCTCCACTGTTATCAAGTTGATTTTCACACTTTGGAAACTGCCCCGAAATTTTTTCCAAGGTATCCCTTTTTCCAGATACACTTAATAGCCCCCTTCTTTGATCCTTTACTATGCAAAAGGTTCTCCCTGATATCTGTCACGTCCTTTAGCACTTTTCAACATTTCCTATTTGTATTTCTTTGTATCTATTTTTCTTTTCTCCAGTGTGTTATATGGTGCATTTGCTCCCTTACATGTTGTCTTTACTTAGCCTCTGAACGGGGGTTTTAGCCAAATTGTCCCTTTTCTGGACTATGTAATTGTATATTTTCAGAAATACCATTTTTCATTACAATTTCTCTGCCTAACGTTTCCTCCTTTGGAGCAAATAGTCACTATAGATATTGCTGATTAGGAACTCGTCTCGGTTTCTCCGTTTTAATAATGTAATGAGTTCCAATTTTTTATTTTCTTCTCTTTTATCTGCCCCAGACTTCTCAGTCTGGCTGCATATGAGAGCTCCCCCGTTCTCAAAGCCTGCCTCAGAATTGCCATTCTATCTGCTATTTACTTTACAGAGTCTAGGTGAGCAAATTTCAACTCATATCCAGAGTAGCTACTTGTCCATCCCTTTCCTTAGGCATCCGAACACGGTCTTTGTATTGGCTGGTACTCTGAATATTGTTTCCATCGAGTAACCATTAGTTGTGGCCAGGTCTTTTCCCTGGGGTGTATTTCCCCCTGTTGATTATTAATGTTTCACACACAATAATATGTGGAAATTATTTATGCACATAAAACATAAGAATGTCCATACTGGGTCAGACCAAAGGTCCATCCAGCCCAGTATCCTGTCTGCCAACAGCGGCTAATGCCAGGTGCCCCAGAGGGAGTGAACCAAACAGGTAATGATCAAGCGATCTCTCTCCTGCCGTCCATCTCCACCCTCTGACAAACAGACTAGGGACACCATTCCTTACCCATCCTGGCTAATAGCCATTAATGGACTTAACCTCCATGAATTTATCTGTCCCTTTCGTAATGATTCCTAACATCCTTTTTGCTTTTTTGACTGTCGCTTCACACTGCATGGACGTCTTCAGTCATGGTACTAACAGGGTGTGTTGTTCATAATTCATGCCTCTGGATAGTGAAAGTCTCATTTTTCAGATTGTGAGGACAGTGTATGTGGTGTCTCATATTCACATCGTGTCTCCATCCAGGCAATTTCACTTTGACCATCGCCCTCGACCCTGGGATTATAGAGAAACTTCACGGAGCATCTGGTTCAAATAAGAGACAAAACTTCTGCCTTATCCCATGTCAGATTCCAACATAAGTGACTTCACCAACCCCTCCACCTTCATCCTGCTGGGCATCCCTGGCCTGGAGACAGCCCATGTCTGGATCTCCATCCCCTTCTGTGCCATGTACGCCATAGTCATCTTGGGAAATTTAGCCATCCTATTTATTGTGAAGAAGGAAGCCAGTCTCCATGAGCCCATGTACTATTTCCTCTGCATGCTGGCCGTCACAGACCTGGTGTTGTCTACATCCATCCTGCCCAAAATGCTGAGCATCTTCTGGTTCAATTCAAGGGAGATCGATTTTAATGCCTGCCTCATCCAGATGTACATTGTTCACTGCTTCTCAGCAATTGAGTCTGGGATCTTCGTGGCCATGGCATTGGATCGCTACGTGGCCATTTGCCATCCCTTGAGACATTGCACCATCCTGACAAACTCTCTGGTGGTGAAGATTGGCCTGGTCATTGTGTTGCGTGGCAGCATTCTCGCACTGCCCTATCCCATCCTGACAAGGCAGTGGCCATATTGCAAAACCAACATCATCGCTGAGATATTCTGCGCTCACGTAGCTGTAGTGAACCTGGCCTGTGCCGACACCCGCATCAGTAGTTACTATGGCCTCTTTGTGTTATCCTGTCGAATTGGCTTGGATGTGTTTTTCATAACCCTGTCCTACATCCAGATCCTTAGGGCAATCTTCAACCTTCCCTCAAAGGATGCCCGGATCAAGACTTTTGGGACGTGCGGCTCCCACCTTGGTGCCATATTAGCCTTTTACATCCCAACTCTATTTGCCTCCCTGACATCCCGTTTTGGTCACAATTTGCCCCGTTATTTCCAAGTTTTCATTTCTAATGTGTACCTCCTGGTTCCCCCCATGCTGAACCCCATCATCTATGGTGTGAGGACCAAACAGATCTGGAATAAGCTACTCCAGCTCTTGACTCATAAAGGGACTAAAATTTTCTCCTAAGACTCTGGCTTTACTGATGTGGAGTGCTGGCTGGTGACACGGTGCTCTTCCCTGAGTCACTGACTGGTCAATTAAAGAACATTTAAATTGTTTGCTGACTTTACTGTGTTTTCTCGGCGTGACATACTGGGGAATCCATCTGTGTACAACTCATAGGGTGTCACCTTTTTAATTCTAACTTGGATACCCAACGCCCTGTCCTTGTCCCACCTATTTCCTCAGATCCCTGCTCCATGTCTCCTCTTGAGCCTCCAACCACTTTTATCTCTTGTCCTTCACGTCCCCACCCTTGTAGCTTGCTCCTCTTCTGCGCCCCATCACCTCTTGGATCATCTCTGTCATGGGTCCCCTTGGGTGCCACCTAGAAATGAGGAACAGCTGGGCCCCATGTCTCACAAAACTAGGCTGCCACTTGCACAGGGATGTGGGAAGCTGCAAAGCCCTGTGTGCTTGCATCACACCAACATTCCTAGCTGGGCAGCTCACCCAGCTCTGTTCCTGAATGCTCTGGACAGCCAGTCTTCAAACCACAGGAGAGAGGCTACAGCCGAACCACTCCCTCTCCCCAGTCAAAGTCTTCACAGCTGCACTGCCCCGCCCTGGTGAAATCTGCCCGATTAGAATGTGCTACCCTGGGCACCCTTCTACAAGGCAAGTGGCTACACAGCAGCTCTTGTTCATGAGCTGAGATTTTCCCCTTTGCACCTCAGACAAAGTGCTGTGTGCTGGGTAACATAGATGCATTAGCGGCATAAGGAGAACTGTGCAGGGAGGATGGTTGAGAGCTAAGGGGCGACATTGGAATATGTTAAGAAATAAAACAAACCCACAATGTTACGCTAACACCCATGAGGATTTGAACAGAGCAGCGTCTCGCCCTGGTCGTTAGTACAGGTAGATTCACTTTTTCAGGCAGGCTTCCTATTTGCACAAGGCTGGCACATTCCCCTACCCCCACATTCAGGGCTTTCCCTCCCTTACGCTCAAGTGCATTGTCCTAGGGAGAGTGAGGACCCAACGTCCTGTCATTGCCCCTTTTTCTATCTTCTTCCAACTGGGCGAGAGCCTGTTGGCTGTGGCCGGGGCCGAGCCGTTCCCATTGTGCAGGGCTGTCTGGGGAGCTTTCTATTGCCCGCAGTTGTGTGAATTTCCTCAAGAAACCATCACCGTTCCTTGGCCTTGCCATTGCTGCACCTGGCAGGCGGCGGGCGGGGGGCTCTCAGCTTCCCCACGTTTCAGCAGAACAGACAGAGCCAGACTCCAGACCTGCCCAGGCGGTGCCGGCTCAGGCCCCTTCACAGGCTGTTCACGTTCTGCAGACGGAGCCTTTCAGAAGGGCCCCTCCCATGGTCCCCGTGCACAGACCACACTGGATTCGGTGCCATTCTGAATATTCCCAGCATTATTCCCTATTTTCAGTATAGGAAACATCACATTACTAGTCATCTCTAAAATTCAACCAAACTTTTAAAGCACCCTTCCCCTGTGAACTGGGTTTGATTGCCCTGTACATAAATATCCTAATTTGAACTACCTATTCCGTGCCGCATGTAGCCATGGGCACGAAGTTTGGACTAAGGGGGATTTAAAAATGGTGGTGCCCAGGAACATGGAAATGAAGCCTGGGATATTTAAATCCTGGGCTTCATTTGCAACTCCACTTGACCTCATTACGCTACTTACCTCGAACTAACGAGCTAGTATAGATGTAACCGGTGAGACTAAGGGGGGATATGATAGAGGTCTATAAAATCATTACTGATGTGGAAAAAGTGATTAAGGAAAAGTTATTTACTTGTTCCCATAACCTAAGAACTAGGGGTCACCAAATGAAATTGATCGGTAGCGGAGTAAAAACAAACAAAATTAAGTTTTTCTTCACTCAACGCACAGTCAACCTCTTGAACTCCTTGTCAGAGGATACGGTGAAGACTAGGACTTTAACAGGGTTCAAAAAAGAACTAGATAGATTCATGGAGGTTAGGTCCATCTATGGCCAAGATGGGTGGGAACGGTGTCCCTAGCTCTGTCTCTCTGGAGGTGAGTTTCATGGTGGGTTTCACGTGATTATTACCTGTTGTGATCCCTCCCTCTGGGCCTTCTGGTATTGGTCATAGTTGGCAGACAGCTAGATGGACCTTTGGTTTGACTCAGTCTGACCGGTCTTATGTTCTTCTATAATCCAGCTACATAATTAACATATATGGAGTCATGTATCTTAAATGGACTTTCCTCTTTAGTGTAGACCAGGCCAGTGGAAGCAGAAGTGGAGACTCAGAGTTCACACCTCCCAGAAGTGGCAAGTTCCAAAACTCCAGCTGGTTCTGAAAAGATCAGATTCAACTTTAGAAGATGGTAAAGGATCAGCTTCGCTCTTCCAGCCTTCCCTCTGTCTCCTGCTACATGTCCCTGCCAGGGAAGGATTGTGGTTACTGCAGGGAAGTCAGGATTCCTGGTTGTCATTCTGTCATCCTTCCACTCCCTCTGTCTTGCCATGGCCAATTCATGTCTCCCAGCTTAGCTGCATTATGGGTTTCTTCTCACAGTCCCTTTCCTTTGCAAGATCTTGTCCATGTCCTACATGATGAGATGATAGCTATGGATGAGTATTATTATCTCTGACCCCTTAGGGTGCATCTACACGACACCGTAGATTAACACAAGATCCGCAAGTTGAGCTACGCAAATTGTGTATCTTATTTCAAAATAGCTTATTTTGAAATTTGGTGCTGTCTACACAGCACTTATTTCAAAATAAATTGCTGTACCTGAAATGTGGAATGAGGTTTACAGGGACACTGGAGTATCAAGCCCATTATATTTCGAAATAATGGGCACACTCAAAAGACACGGAATAGCTATAGTGCTGCACTGTAGACGTAGCCTTAGGGACAGCCCCATGTACCTGCAGAAAGTGTTAGGGTCTGATACACTGTAATCGCCCAGGATGTAAACAAGTTGATCTGGAGCAAGGTGACTAAGAACAGACACTAAAGAGATATAGACTTTATCCCTCCTTTTCTTCCTAATCAACTATACATTGTAAATTTACACATGTGCACAGAGCAGCCAATTCCTCCCTGACTCAGCCCAGAGCCCAGGAGTTCTCCTCTCCCATTGGGAAGGGCCCTTAATTGGTGTTTACTCATGAAGCTGGAAAAATAGCCCAGAGGCCCAGACAGGCAGGTCTCCAAACTTTTTTGATCCAGATGCTCACGTATCCACTAGAGGCTGAGTGAACCCCACCGGGACCTCACAGAGCTATATTATTAACTGCACAGCCCTGTGTTGTTTCTCGACGTGGGAAGTTCCTGCAGTTGCTGGGCTGAGTAAGGCATCTGAGGGGGCTCGCAGGAAGACACGTCCCTTTCAGAACGCTCAGGAGCGCAACTCTGGCTCGACAAACCCAGGGCATCACAGGACAGAGAGTAAGTCTGGGACCCCTTCTGCTCTGCACAGTCAGTAAATATCCCCTTGCCACAGGGATGCAGCCAGCTCTGTGAGGAAGAAACATGGGGTAATGGTGTTTGGAGACTCTTCTGAGTGGGAGGGACATTCTCTTCTGCAGGGGACTCTTTTCTGAGGGGAACAGACACACCCATCCATCACCCTGACGTGACATCTCGGGAGGTATGCTGCCTGCCAGAGGTTATATCCGAGATGCTACAGGGGGATTCTCAAGGCTTATCCAGCTCTCAGACTACTACCCCATGCTACTCATCCATGCGGGCACTAATGATACTGCAAGGTGTGACCTTGAGCAGATCAAGAGTGGGAGTATGGGTGAAGGAGTTTGGAGCGCAGGTGGGGTTCTCTTCAGTCCTTCCTGTCAAAGGTCAGGGCCCAAGCAGAGACGGGTGCATTCTGGAGGTGAATGCCTGGCTGCAAAGACGGTGTCGCCAAGAGGACTTTATCTTATTTGATCATAAGATGTTGTTCCTGAAAGAAGGGCTGCTAGCAGGGATGAGGTTCGCCTTTCGAGGAACGGGAAGAGAGTACTTGGATACAGACTGGCTAACCCAATGAGGATGCTTGAAACTAAGTTTGCCAAGGGTATGTGACCAAAGCCCACAGGTAAGTGACAGGCATGGAGACCTGGGAGATGGCTCAGAAATGGAAGGGAGCGTGGGCTATAATAGCAGAGATAAAGGAGGGACAAGGCAGAAGAGGGGGGCAAAATCAAGTCAGTATCTTAGATTTTTAAATGCCTGTCTAGAAATGCAAGAAGTATTTGGAATAAGCAGGAAGAATTTGAAGTGCTAATAAATAAACACAACTATGACATTGGTGGTAGCACAGAGACTTGGTGGGATAATGCACACGATTGAAATATTGGTACAGAAGGCACAAATTGCTCAGGAAGGATAGGCAGGGAAAAGAGGGGAAAATTTTGAATGATCTTCTAGTTGTTTGCAGATTAATTCCTTTATTACTGGCTCCATTATCTTCCCTGGCCCAGAAGTTAATCTGACTGTTCTGTTATTCCCTAGGTTGTTCTTATTTCCCTTTTTATAGATGGAGACTATAGCTCCCTCTTTCCAGTTTTCTGGAATCTCTCCTGTCTTCCATGGTTTTTCTAAGATGATAGCTAAAGGCTCAGATACGTCTTCTCTCAGGTCTTTGAGTATTCATGGATTAATTTCATCAGGGCCCTGCTGACTTGAAGACATCTAACCTTTCTAAGTAATTTTTAACTTGCTCTTTTCTTATTTTAACTTCTGACCCTACCCCATTTCCACTAGCATTCACTATGTTAGGCATGGGTGTCACCATCTAACTTCTTGGCAAAAATCGAACCAAAGAAGTCATTAAGCAACTCTGTCATTTCCAAGTTTTCTGTTATTCTTTCTCCCTCTTCACTGAGCAACGGGCCTACTCTGTCCTTGGTCTTCCTCTTACATAAGAACATAAGAACGGCCAGACTCGGTCAGACCAAAGATCCATCTAGCCCAGTAGCCTGTCTGCTGGCAATGGCCAATACCATATGCCCCATAGAGAGGGAATACAACACGTGATTCCTCCCCAGTCATCCATTTCCAGACAAACAAAGGCTCGGGACACTGTTCCTGCCCATCCTGGCTAATCGCCATTGATGGACCCAACCTCCAGCTGTGTCTACACTGGGCCACTTATTCCGGAAAATCAGCCGCTTTTCCGGAATACGCTGCGAGCTGTCTACACTGGCCCTTGAATTTCCGGAAAAGCAACGATGCTCTACTGTACAAAATCAGCCACTATTCTGGCCCTTGAATTTCCGGAAAAGCAACGATGCTCTACTGTACAAAATCAGCCGCTATTCTGGAAAAATTATTCTGCTCCCGCTCGGGCATAAGTCCTTATTCCGGAACACTGTTCCGGAAAAGGGCCAGTGTAGACAGCCCAGTAGTCTTTTCCGGAAAAAAGCCCCGATCGCGAAAATGGCGATCAGGGCTCTTTTCCGGAAAAGCGCGTCTACATTGGCCACAGACGCTTTTCCGGAAAAAGGGCTTTTCCGGAAAAGCAGCCTGCCAATGTAGATGCTCCTTTTCTGGAAAAACTGAAAACGGAATAGTATTCCGTTTTAAGCAGTTCTGGAAATTCATGCCAGTGTAGACACAGGCTCCGTGAACTTATTTAGCGCTTTTTTAACCCTGCTTCTGATTGATTTGTAGAATGTCTTCTTGTTGCCCTTTATGTCTCTAGCTAGATTGAGCTCATTTTGTGTCTTTGCCTTTCTAATCACTCCAATGACGTCTATGGGAAGGAGTTCTATAGGCTAAAGATGGATTATGTAAGCATTTTAATTTTTCTATGTTATACATAAGAATGGCCGTATTGAAACACACCAAAGATCCATCTAGCTCAGTATTCTGTCTTTCAACAACAATCAATGGCAGGTAAGGGAATCATTAAGTAATCCCTCCCGTGTCACCCATATCCAGCCTCTGTCAAACAGAGGCAAGGGACAGCAAAGAAGTATTGATGGACCTAGTCTCTATGATTTTATCTAGTTCTTTTTTGATCCCTGTTAAGGTCCTGGTCTTCACAACATCCTCTGGCAAGGAGTTCCACACATTGGATGGGTGTTGTGTGAAGAAATACCTCCTTTTTGTGTGTTTGAAACCTGCTATCTATTAGTTTCATTTTGTAAACCCCTAGTTCTTGCGTTATGGAAACAAGTTTATAACTTTTCCTTTTTCACTTCATTCTAGTCATGATTTGCAGACGTCCATTGTATGCCCCCTCAGTCTCCTTGTGAGTTCCCTTGCTCGTGTTTTATAATTATGTACCTGATCTACTTCCTTTATCAATAGATTCATAGGCTATGTCTACATTGGACATTGTTGCACAAGAAGATATGCAAATGAAGTTGCAGCGATGAATATCACCATACCTCATTTGCTTACCGAATGAGCTGCCATTTTTCCACAAGGGGGTTTTGAACAAAAAGGAGCAGTCTACACTGCTCCTTTCTGTGCAGAAAACCCCTCTTGTGCAAGAGTCGTTCTGCCACCTACTTTCAAGAAGAAAGGTTCCTGTGCAAGAGGGATTTTTGTGCAAAAAGGAACAGTGTAGAGTGCTCACTTTTGCGCAAAGGGGCTCATTAGGTATGCATGGCGGCTCATTAGGTATGCAAATGAGGTGCGGCAATATTCATTGCCACACCTCATTTTCATATCTTCTTGCGCAAGAATGCGCAATGTAGATGTAGCCATAGCGTTTAAGGTCAGAGCGACATTAAGAAGATCCTCCAATGTGATGGCCTATGTAACTCAGGTGACTAAATTTCACCCAGTTTCCTCTCTATTTTCAATTCAATTTTTCTGCCTAAGTTTTCCTCTCAAACCGTTTTGCTGATGGTTTGAAACAGCTGGGAGGAATTAGCCCTTTGGAGCAATGAGTCACTAGAGATAGTACGAAGTGGCAACTCTTCTTGCTTTCTCCATTTGAATGTAATGTAATGAGTTCTACTTTCTATTTTCTTCTCCTCTATCTGCCCCAGACATATGACAACACCCCTGATCTCAAAGCCAGACTCAGAATTCCCTTTTACCTGCTATTTCCTTTATACAGACTGGGTAAGCAAAATTGAGCACATATCTAGAGCTGATATTTTCCATCCTTTGTTTTGGCCAGTGCCATGAACGAGCTGCTGTTTCCATGGAATTGCTATTAGTTATGACCAGGTCTTTTCCCTGGGGTGAATCTCCTCCCAATGCCTATTAAGGTTTCACACACCATAATGTACAGACATTATTGATGCATGGAGCAACATCAAACATGAAATTAATAGGCTCTGTTATTCATAATTCATATCTCTGTATAGTAAAAGTGCCATTTTCCAGAGTGTGAAGAAAGCACAATTTCCTTCATCCATGAAAACAGCGTCCTGTACTGTATGTGGTATTTCATATTCACGTTGTATCTCCATTCAGGCAATTTCACTGTAACCATCGCCCTTGAACCTGTGCTTGTACAGAAAGTCTGCAGAGCATCTGCTTCAAGTAGGAGGCAACGTTCTGCCTCAGAGTTGAATTGCCTCTCCTCCACTGCATGATGGACCCCTCCACCTTCATCCTGCAGGGCATCCCTGGCCTGGAGGCGGCCTATGTCTGGATTGCCATCCCCTTCTGCATCATGTACATCATAGCCATCTTGGGGAACTTTGCCATCTTATTTATTGTGAAGAAGGAACCGAGTCTCCATGAGCCTGTATACTATTTCCTCTGCATGCTGGCCGTCACCGACCTGGTCCTGTCCACAACCACCCTGCCCAAAATGCTGAGCATCTTCTGGTTCAATTCCAGGGAGATCAGTTTCAATGCCTGCCTCACCCAGATGTTTTTCGTTCACTGCTTCTCAGACATGGAGTCTGGGATCTTTGTGGCCATGGCATTGGATCGCTACGTGGCCATCTGCCATCCCCTGAGACACTCCACCATCCTCACAAATTCTGTGGTGGTGAAGATTGGTCTGGTCATTCTGTTGCGTGGCAGCATTCTCATCCTGCCCTGTCCCTTGCTGGCAAGGCAGTGGCCATATTGTAAAAGCAATATCATCGCCCACACTCAGTGTGAGAACATAGGTGTGGTGAGGTTGGCCTGTGCTGACACCCGTGTCAGTAGTTACTACGGCCTCTTTGTACTATCTTGTAGGCTTGGTGTGGATGTGTCTTTTATCACCCTGTCCTATATCCAGATCCTCAGGGCCATCTTCAACCTCCCCACAAAGCACGCCCGTATCAAAACCTTTGGGACCTGTACCTCACACATCTGTGTCATATCAGCCTTTTACATCCCAACTCTATTTTCCTCATTGTCATCCCGTTTTGGCCAAAATTTGCCCCGTTATATGTACGTTTTCATTGCTGACATATACCTGCTCTTTCCTCCTATGCTGAACCCCGTCATCTACGGTGTGAGGACCAAACAGATTCGGGACAGGCTGCTCTGGCTTTTTACTGCTAAAGGGACTAAAGCGTTTTCCTCAGGTGGTGGCCCTCAGTCCGAGCTCCGTGGAGGGCTGGCTGGTGACATGGTACTCGTCCCTGAATCACTGACTGGCCAATCAGAGAAAGATTAAATTCTTTGCTGACTTTACTGTGTTTTCTCAGCGTGACTTACTGGGGAATCTATCTACGTACAATGTATAGGTTTGCCAACTTGCTATTGTATTTGTAATTGTAACTGGAAACCGAAGGCCCTTGCCCCACCTTTTTCCTCAGAGTCCTGCTCCACGTCCCCTGTTGATCCTCCAGCTTCCTCTATGTCTTGTCCTTATGTGCCCCACAATGGTTACTTGCTCCTCTTATGTTCCCCATGACTGCTTGGATCATGTCTATGATGGGTCCCCCAGGGTGCCACCTGGAACTGAGGTACAGCTGGGCCCCATGTCTCGCCCAAATGGGCTGCCCCTTGCACAAGGACGTGGCAAGCTGCAACACCGTCCAAGCTGGTCTCACACAAACATTCCTAGCTAAGGAGCTCACCCAGCTATTCTCTGGAACGCTGTGGGAAGCCACTTAGAAAAGCACAGTAGAGAGTCTACAGCCAGAATACTCCCTGCTCCCCAGCAGAGGTCTCCACCAACTCACTGTCCTCTCCTGGTGAAACTGTGCGAATCTGTGCACCAGCTCTTGTTCCTGTGCTGAGACTTTCCCTCTGCACCTGGTTTTCTCAGCATGACTCACGGGGGAAAGGCCTTCGAGAAGCCATGCACAGATGCCATCCACCAGGCCCATCAGTTGGGGATGAGCATCTGGGAGGCTTCTCTCAAGGACCCCAGTAACTCTCCCCAGGGTCTCCCAATGGGCCTGTGCCTTGCTCCACTATCCCTTTCCCACCACGGCCCCTCCCTTCACCCCTTTCCTGTAGTCAGTAAACACACCTGGTTTGATTTCAACAAAAAGTACCCTGTATTTTTCTTTCAATAAAAAAATAACTGGGGAGGAAGGGGGTTGAGAACCTGGAGGGGGATGGATGAGGGATACTCAGGGCTGGGAATCGCATAGGGCAGCTCAAAGTGCCACCTCAGGTGTGGGGACCTTCGTGAACTTGGGGTTGGGTGGGTCCTGGGACCACAGGAGTGTGAGCTGCAGTGGGGTCAGGGCGGGCACTGGGAGAGGGCATAGGCATGACTTGGGAGCAGGGGGATGGGGAACGGGCATCCCTTGGGGAAGGTCATAGACATCACTTGGAGGGCAGTGAGAGGGGGAATGTGCACAGCAGGGGGGCAGGAGTGTGGGAAGCAGGAACAGGGACAGCAGCCGGGTGTGCTGTGATTGTGTGCATCACGGCACACAGGTTATCGCAGTGCTGCACGAGCTGGGACCATGTGCAGGTCTGCCGCGCTGCATCCTTCCGGACCTTCTGTGCCAGAGTCTGCTGCATGTCGTACAGGTCGCCCACGTGCTGCCTCATCAGGTTTCCCTGCACTCTGAGGTGCTTTCAGCAGCGGCTGGTGGTGGGAGGGCGTCCTGCCCCCCCCCCAGGGTCAGACATGTGTGTTAGCATGTGAGCAGGATCCCAGGAGTGCTCAGGGGCTGCCTGCTGAGGCTGCGTGGTGCACCATGATGACCATGTGCAGGTCTGCCGCGCTGCATCCTTCCGGACCTTCTGTGCCAGAGTCTGCTGCATGTCGTACAGGTCGCCCACGTGCTGCCTCATCAGGTTTCCCTGCACTCTGAGGTGCTTTCAGCAGCGGCTGGGGGGGGGGGGGGGTCCTGCCCCCCCCCCCAGGGTCAGACATGTGTGTTAGCATGTGAGCAGGATCCCAGGAGTGCTCAGGGGCTGCCTGCTGAGGCTGCGTGGTGCACCATGATGCTGCACGTGGTTCCATGTGCACGGTCTGCAGCATGATGTCAACCAAAGCAGACTGAGCAACAATCGCACCCCTCCCCCTCTGCGCCTGCCTCCCCCACCCTGTGTGTGAAAAACTGAGAGACCTCACCTGATTTTCCCCCCTCACAGCGTCACATAATGCCTGAGAGATGTCCAGGGACAGCATGACTGTGGGTGCCGTGTTGTCCTCCTCTTTCTCCTGCCCCAGCAGTCGCTCGTCCGCCTCCTCCACGACCTCCGGCCGGGTGACAACAAACATGTCAAGGTCGGAGTCAACCATCACGGGTGGGGAAAGGGCTTCCCCACTGCCCAGGATCTCGTGCTCTTCATAGTACGGGCAGAAGTGGTGTCCTGCCCTGAAGCTCAAGCTGTGCTCTCTGGCCCTGGCATAGCCCTGGCAGAGCCCCTTAACTTTACTCTGAACCTCTTCTAAGGACCAGGGTGGGTGTCCTTGCTCTGCCAGGGCCTTGGACATGGGCCCATATATGTTGGCATTGCGGTGTCTGGAGCAGAGGTCCTGTAGGGTCTCCTCCTCCCCCCACAGCTCGAGGATGGACAGGATCTCCGCTCCAGACTACGAGGGTGCCTGCCACTTGGTACCCATTGGTGGGTCCTGGGAGCCCTGGTCATGCTCCCTGTGAGGGCCAGAGGTATCTCAGGGGGGTGGTAGCTCGCCCATTGCTCACAGTGTGGGTAGAAGAAAGAGTCACGTGGTCAGGTGCTGCTCCAGGGCCAGCTACCTTCCACCAGGCTTGTCCAGGGTGCCTGCAACTTTAAGAGGTGTCAGGAGACAGGAACTATAGAGCTATAATTACTTTGGACAGAGTGGCCACAATAACACAGCCCACTTGTGTTATCTCCTGGAGACCCAGAGGTATCCCAGAAAAACTCTGCCACATCCAGGGAACGTGTCTGCTCTTCAGACATGCTCTTTTGGAAGCCGTATCTTCCTCGTGCCACGAGGAAGAAGGACTCTTCTGAAAGAGGTTTTTCCAAAATTTGGACCACTGTAGACGGGCCAAATTTCAGAAAAGCCTCGTCCGACAAAACTATCAGGAAAAGCTACACAAATTGTGGAGCGCAATGTGTGTACCTTTTTCCGATAAAAAGCAGCAGTCTAGACATAGCCTTAGTGACAGCCCCGTGTGCCTGCAGGAAGTGTTAGTGTCTGTCCTTAGTTGCCTTTCTCCAGATCTATCCTTTTTCATCCTGGGCATTTACAGCATATCAGACCCTAAGGAGATATAGAATGTATCCCTCCTTTTCTGCCTAGTCAACTATGATTTTTAACTACACACAAATGCACGCAGCAGCTAATTCCTCCCTGACTCAGCCCAGAGCCCAAGAGTTCTCCTCTCCCTTTGGGAAGGGCCTTAATTGCTGTTTACTCTTAAAACTGGATAAATAGCGCACAGGCCCAGACAGGCTGGTCTCCAAACTTTTTTGATCCAGATGCTCACTTATCCCCTACTGGCTGAGAGAACCCCTCTGGGATTGACCAGAGCTATATTACTAACAGTGCACAGCCCTGTGCTGGCTCTCGGCGCAGGACACTGTTACAGACGCCGGGATGAGAGAGGTGCAGGACGCGGCTGCCTAAGGGGGGTTCCCAGGGAAGACACGTCCCTCTCAGAGCCACAGGTACCATCTCCAGCTAAGGAGCTCCCCTGCTCGACAAACCCAGGGCATCAAAGGACAGAGAGTAAGTCTGGGACACTTTCCGCTCTGCACAGCCTGTAAATATCCCCTTGCCACAGGGAGGAGTTTTCTCCCATATCAGTAGGCAAAAGGTGACACTTCCTGGGCATCCCTTCCCATTACCTACAGCCGCAAGCCATTTCAATGGCACAGGGCAACATTCAGGTCGAATAGAATCATAGAATCCTAGGACTGGCAGAGACCTCAGGAGTCATTGAGTCCAGCCTCAATTCAATCATCCCAGCCAGGGCTTTGTCAAGCTTGTACTCAAACACCTCAAGGGATGGAGATTCCACCCCCTCCCTAGGTATCCCATCCCAGTGCTTCACACCCTCCCAGAGAAATAGTTTTTCCTAATATCCAACCTGGACCTTCCCACTGCAAATTGAGACCATTGGATCCCCTCTTCAGGTAGTTGCAGGTTGGTATCAAATTCTCCCTCGTTCTTCTCTTCTGCAGACTAAGCAAGCCCAAATACTTTAGATGCTCCTCGTAAGTCATGTGTTCCAGCCCACTAATAATTAGCCAGTCAGTCCCCAGCCTGCAACAATGCTTGGGATTCTTCTGTCCTTTGTGCAGGACTCTGCACTTGCCCTTCTTCAAACTTCATCAGATTTCTTTTGGCCAATCCTCCCATTTGTCTAGGTCACTCGGCCTCCTATCCCTGCCCTCCAGCACATCTACCTCTCCCCCTAGCTTAGTGTCAACTGACAACTCTGTGAGGGTGCAATCCATCCCTCATCCAGGTAATTAATAAAAAGGTGGAACAAAACTGGCCTTCAGACACTCTTCTTAATAACAATAGCCAACCAGACATCGAGCCGTTGATCACTGCTCATTAAGCCTGAATGATCTTACCGGCTTTCTCTCCATGGCTTTTAGTTTCCCCACTATGGAAAATTTCCTGTGGATGATATTGACTAAAGACCTGAAAAGCCAGTCATGTGTTAATACACATATGCTGACATCCCCTCCTCTTGAATCTCAGGCTCTGGCTCTTAACAGGTGGACTCATCACTTGCCTCGTATCTCCTGGAAAGTGTGGATGTAGAAGGGCTTCTCCTGGGAACAGCATAGTGATACATAACTTCTCCAACTTGGAAAACTTGCAAGGAATTGGACTAGAGCTGTTCTCCTTGAAGGAGTCGGACATTGTTTAACTAAAGGTGGTGTCATCAGCACACTTACAATTACAGATTCCTTTGTGAATCCCATTCACTAAGCTCTTCACTCCAATCATGTCTGTGTTATAGAGTTCCACAGTCCAGATATGGATTACCAGTGTTAATATGTTCAATGGAATTGCATGTTCCCTTGCTCATGTGTTATGAGACACAGTAAATATAAATGCCTTATATACATTTGTTATTCACAGTTTCACTGAGCGAAAGGTGAGAAGCAGCCATAAAATCCTCCAGTGTGATCTGTTGGATAACACAGGCCATTAAATTTCACCCCATTACCGCTATATTGAGGCTCACGATTTGCATGACACTCAGGCCTGATTCACACCAGGGTTTTACACTGTAGAATCAAGAAGACACAAAAAGAGAAGGATTTATTTGATACGACCAGTTTTACAGAAACCATATTGTTGATGGGCATTAATGATATTTCTAAACTTTTGAAAAAAAAGTTGCATGCAACGTTTCCATTGTTTCCTAAACTTGTCAAATAATTTTATTTTTCAATAATTACATTTAACAGGAACATGTCCCGAATGTGCCTCCTCTTTGACGGTGAGAGATCTGTGCTGCTTGCTGTCTGATAGGCTATTTCTGGTTCTACTGTATATGCTTTTGAGTACATTCTAAGTGCTTCATTCCAAAAGCAAAGCAAAACAGTTTTTTCAAAATACTTAATTTTCCTCCAGGGTTTACAAGTTTCCTTTCAACTTCTGGTAATTGGCCACAATATTTTTCCAAGATATACCTAATACCCTCTTTTTGGATCCTTAGCCCTACCCTATCAAGGTTTTCCCTGATATCTGTCGCACCACTTTTCAAAATTTCTAATTTCTATTGCTTTGTATCAATTGTTCTTTTCACCAGTGTGTTATATGATGCATTTTTCCCTTAATTGCTGCCTTCACTCACCACTGAACAGAATTTTTAGCCAAATTGCCAACTTTATTGACCATGGAATCATACTTTTTAGGAAATCCCAATTTTTCTGCCTAACTTTTCCTACCAAGGAGTTTTTGCTGACGCTTTGACACAGCTTTGGGGAATAAGTCCTTTGGACCAATTAGTCAAGAGAGATGGTATTGATTGGCAACTCTTCCCGGTTTCTCCACTTGCATGTAATGTACCGAGTTCCATGTTGTACTATAGTTTCCTGTATCTGACCCAGATGTCTCAGTCTGGCTGCAAATGACAGCTCTCCGGTTCTGAAAGCTAGTGTCAGAATTCCTGTTCTACCTGCTTTTTGCTTTACAAAGACTGAGTAAGAAAAAATTGAACATATATCCAAAGCAGCTATTTTTCCAACCCTTTCCTAAGGCATCTGAACATGGTGTTTGTTTTGGCCAGTGCTGTGAATTAGCTGGTTGCTATCAGTTATGGCCGGGTCTTTTCCCTGGGGTATATTTCCTTAATCTGTCTATTAAGGTTTGCACACCATAATGTATAGAAATTTTGGATGCATGGAGAACCTTCAAAAATGGAATTATGATGGTTTCTAGTTCCTAATTCATGGCTCTGGATAAGGAAAGTGCCATTTCTCAGAGTGTGAAGAAAGTACAAACTCCTTCACCCATGAGAACAGACTCCTTTAATGTACATGGTGTCTCATATTCACATTGTGTCTCCATCCAGGTATTTGCACTGTGGCCATCACCCTAGACCCTGGGCACATCCAGAAACTCCACGGAGCATCGGGTTCAAGTCAGAGACAACGTTCTGCCTCAGAGCTGAATCGCTTCTTCCCCGCTCCATGTCAGACTCCAACACAACTGCCTTCACCAACCCCTCCACCTTCATCTTACTGGGTATTCCTGGCCTGGAGGCGGCCCATGTCTGGATCTCCATCCCCTTCTTCAGCATGTATGTCATAGCTATCTTGGGGAACTTTGCCATCCTATTTATTGTGAAGAGGGAGTCCAGTCTCCATGAGCCCATGTACTATTTCCTCTGCATGCTGGCCACCACCGACCTGGTGCTATCCACAACCACCCTGCCCAAAATTCTGGCAATCTTCTGGTTCAATTCCAGGGAGATTTATTTCAGTGCCTGCCTCACTCAGATGTTTTTCGTTCACTGCTTCACAGAAATAGAGTCTGGGATCTTTGCGGCCATGGCGTTGGATCGCTACGTGGCCATCTGCCATCCCCTGAGACATTCCACCATCCTGACTAACTCTCTGGTGATGAAGATTGGCCTGCTCATTGTGTTGCGCAGCAGCATTCTCGCACTGCCCTATCCCGTCCTAGCGAGGCAGTGGCCATATTGCAGAACCAACATTATCGCCCACACTCAATGTGAGAACTTGGGTGTGGTGAGGCTGGCCTGTGGCGATACCCGCATGAGCAGTTACTATGGCCTCTTTGTGCTATCCTGTAGATTTGGCCTTGATATGTCTTTTATCACCTTGTCCTATATCCAGATCCTTAGGGCCATCTTCGGCCTCCCCACAAAGGACGCCCGGGTAAAGACCTTTGGGACCTGCAGCTCACATATCTGTGTCATATTAACCTTTTACATCCCAATTCTGTTTGCCTCACTCTCTGTCCGTTTGGGCAACAATTTGCCCCGTTATTTCAACGTTTTCATTGCTGACATTTACCTCTTAGTTCCACCCATGCTGAACCCCATCATCTATGGGGTGAGGACAAAACAGATCCGGGAAAAGCTGCTCCGATTTTTTTTTCTAGGGCAACTAAAGTTTTCTCCTCAGCTTGTGGCTCTCAAGCATTGCTCTGTGGGAGTTCTGGCTGGTGACATGGAACAATTGACTGGCCAATCAAAGAAAGTTTAAATTCTTTGTTGACTTTACTATGTTTTCTCACCATGAGATACTGGGAAATCCATCTATGTACAACTCATAGGGCTGTCACCTTTCTAATTGTATTTCTAATTGTAACTGGACATGCAAGGCTCTGGTCTCGCCCCACCTTTTTCCTTAGAGTCCTGCTCCACATGTTCCCTCGAACATCCAACCACTTCTTTGTCTTGTCCTTCAGTGCCTGCCCCACACTGGCGGCTTGCTCTTCTTCTCCTCCCCACACCACTTGGATCATCTCTGTGATGTGTCTTAGGATTTAGATTGATGGTCACAGTGTAATTGCCTGGACTGAGACACAATGGCTACGTCTAGACTGGCATGATTTTCCGCAAATGCTTTTAACGGAAAAGTTTTCTGTTAAAAGCATTTGCGAAAAAGAGCGTCTAGATTGGCATGGGCGCTTTTCCACAAAATCACTTTTTGCGGAAAAGCGTCTGTGCCAATCTAGACATGCTTTTGCACAAAAAAGCCCCGATCGCCATTTTCGCGATCGGGGCTTTTTTGCGCAAAACAAACCTCAGCTGTCTACACTGGCCCTTTTGCACAAAAGCTTTGCGCAAAAGGGACTTTTGCCCAAACGGGAGCAGCATAGTATTTCTGCAAGAAGCACTGATTTCAGACAGTAGGAAGTCAGTGTTCTTGCTGAAATTCAAGCGGCCAGTATAGACAGATGGCAAGTTTTTCCGCAAAGGCAGCTGCTTTTGCAGAAAAACTTGCCAGTCTAGACACAGCCATAATGTGAATATAAGATACCACATACTCTACTGGATGCTGTTCTTATGGAAGAAGGAGAAGGTACAGTTTTATTATTCAGAGCCATGAATTATGAACAACTGATCCCACAAATTCCATGTTTGATGGTGCTTCATGCATCAATACATTGCATACATTATGGTGGATGAAACTTTAGCAGACGTATTAATGAAATATATCTTGGAGAAAAGTCCTGGTCATAACTGATAGTGAATCCTTGGAAACAACAGCTCATTCATGGCACTGGACAAAACAATGATCATTTTTGGATGCCTAAGGAAAGGGTTGGAAAAATAGCTGCTCTGGATATGTGCTCCCTTTTACTCACTCTGGGTATGTCTACACTACCACCCTAGTTTGAACTAGGGTGGTAGTGTAAACATACCCTCTGTCTCTGTTGTGGAAATAGCAGGTAAAAAGGGAATTCTGAAGCAGGTTTTTACAACAGGTGAGCTGCCATATGCAGTCAGACTAAGAATTCTGAGGCAGATAGAGGAGAGGAGAGTTAAAAATAAAAGTTTTACATTGTATTCAAATAGAATCCCCGAGAAGCGTTCCCACTCGGTAAAAATATTCACAATATTGTTTTGGCCTGCATTGGAGAAGAAGGACTTACAATGTGGTGAACCATGCCCCAGTCTATTAGCTGTCAGAGAAAGGTGTTAAACAGCATCTACAGTAGAACCTCAGAGTTATGAACACCAACGTTATCCACTGACCAATCAACCACACATCTCATTCAGAACCACAAGTAGACAAATAGACAGAAGCAGCAGAAGCAGCCTCTCCCTTCAGGCTATGTCTAGACTACAGAGTTTTGTCGGAAAAATGACCATTTTTCCCCCAAAAACTTGAGTGATGTCCAGACTGCAAGCATGTTCTTTCAACAGTAAATCAAAAGAAGAGAGGGCTTTCTGCACAATTGGTAATCCTCATTCTATGAGGAAGAAGCGTTTTTGAGAAAGAACTTTTTCGCAAAAAGGTGTGTATAGACAGGGAAGAGGGAGTTTTTTCGGAAGAAGAGGGAAAAGGTAAAAGCACAGGTGCCCTGTTGGCCATTCTGTCCATAGCAATTACTGCCTACATGCGAGATACCATCCAGGCAGTCTGGACGCTATCTTTCAAAAAAGCGTATCACTTTTTCGATGCGCTTTTGCAGTGTGAACGCTCTCTTGCATAAGAAGTTTTTTCGGCAGATCTCTTCCAAAAAAAGCTTGTTGCGCAAGAAGCTTGTAGTCCAGACATAGCTTCAGAAAGGAGGAAAATATAAAACAGGTCTCCATTAAACCTAAATTATTCAAAAATAATGGAAAGCTCAAATTAAAAATGTCTGACAAGTTTAGGAAACAATGGATAAGCTGGTATGGGATTTTTTTTTAAATCTAGGAGTATCATCAATGTTAGTCAACACTATGCTTTCTGGAAAATTATTCACATTGGCTTCTGATTTTCTGGCTCTATGATTCTACATTGTAAAATCCTGGTGTGAACCAGGCCTGAGTGACATGCAAGTGACATGGGGCTTGATATAGGAGTAACTGGATGACATTTAACGGCCTGGACGATGTTACAGTCTCTTCTGAGCTGAAAGTCTCTCAATCTAGTGATAAAGGAAGTAGATAAGACATTCATTTTTACTGTGTCTCATCACACATGAGCAAGGGAACACACAATTCCATGGGACATTTGAACGACTAACACTGATAAAAGAAAATTGATTCCATAAATCATATTTCACTTGTCAAACTTCTTTTCGCAATCTATGGATTGAATACATGGACTGTCAGGTGGATACAAAGCTGGCTAGATCTTCAGGTGCAATAGGTAATGTTCAACAGCTCAATATCTTGCTGGCAGTTGGTATCAAGTGGAGGGCCCCAAAATTCAGTTCTGGGGCCAGTTTTGTTCAACATCTGTATTAGTGACCTGGATGAAGAGCTAGTCTACAGATGACACAACCCTAGTGGGAGAGCTAGATATGCTGGAGAGTAGGAATAGGATCCACACTGACCTAGACAAACTGGAGGATTCAGCCAAAAGAAAGCTGATGAGTTTCAACAGGGCCAAGTGCAGAGTCCTGTACTTAGGATGGAAGAATCACGAGAACTGGAAGGGAACTCGAGAGTCATTAAGTCCAGTCTCCTGCCCTCAGAGCAGAACCATCCACCATCTAGATCATCCCTGACACGTCTGTCCAACCTGCTCTTAATTATCTCCATGAATGGAGATTTCACAATCTCCCTAGGCAGTTTATTCCAGTGTTTAATGACTCTGCCAGTTAGGAAGCTTTTCCTGATGTCCAGATTAAATGTTCCTTTCTGCAATTTAAGCTATAATGTAAGGCCATTCCTTCTTGTCCTATCATCCGAGGATACAGAGAACAATTTTTCCCCTCCTCCTTGTAACAAACTTTTTGATATTTGAGAGACGCTATCATGTCCCTTCCAGTCTTATCTGTTCCAAACAAAGCAAGCCCAGTTCCTTGAGTCTTCCCTCATAGCTCATGTTTTCTAGGCCATTAATCATTTTTTGTGGAGTACTTTGTGTTTGTCCTTCCTAAACTTCATCCTATTGACCTCAGATCATTTCTCTAGATCATTTTGATCCTAGCTTCCAAAGCACTTGCAACCCCATTCAGTTTGGTATCATCTGCAAACTTAGTAAGCATCCTCTCTATGATAGTATCTAAATAGTTGATGAAGATATCAAAGAGAACTGGTCCAAAAACAAACCCCTGTGCAACCCCTCTTCTTATGCCCTTCCAGAGTGACTGTGAACCATTAATAACTACTCTCTGAGAATGGCTTCTCAGCCAGTTATGTACCTACATTATAGTAGCCCCATAGAAGTTGTTGTATTTCCCTAGCTTATTAATAAGAAGGTCATGCAAAACCACATCTAAATCTTTACTAAAGTCTAGGGCTGTGTCTAGACTGGCAAGATTTTGTGGAAATACTTTTAACGGAAAAGTTTTTCCGTGAAAAATATTTCCACAAAAGAGTGTCTACATTGGCAAGTGCCTTTGAGCAAAAAATTTGCTTTTGCACAAAAGCATCTGTGCCCACTATAGATGAGGTTTTGCGCAAGAAAGCTCCGGCAGCCATTTTCGCCATCGGGGCTTTCTTACGCAAAAAATTCCTGTCCCTGTCTACACTGGCCCTCTTGCGCAAGAACACTTGCACAAGAGGGCTTTTTCCCGAGCGGGAGCATCAGAATTCTTGCACAAGAACACTGACAATCTTACATTAGATCGTCAGTGTTCTTGCGCAAATTTTCACGGCCAGTTTAGACTGCTGGCAAGATTTTGCGTAAAAGCAGACCCTTTTGTGCAAAATCTTGCCAGTCTAGACGCACCCTAGTTGTATCACATCCACCACTTCCCCGTTATCCATAAAGGTTGATATTCTATCGAAGAAAGCTATCCGATTGGCTTGACATGATTTGTTCTTTACAAATCCATGCTGACTGTTACTTATCACCTTATTATCTTCCAGATGTTTGCTGATGAATCCCTTAATTATTTGCTCCATTATCTTCCCTGATAGAGAATTTAAGCTGACTAGTCTGTTGTTCTTATATCCCTTTTTATAGATGGGTGCTATCTTTGCCCTTTTCCACTCTTTTGAATTCTTTGCCAACTTCCATAACTTTTCGAAGATTATACCTAAAGGCCCAGTTTCCCCATCTGTCAATTCCTTGGTATTCTAGGATGTCTGTAATTAGGCCCTGGTGACTGGAAGACATCTTAGTTTTTTAAGTTTTTCATTGTTTTTAAATGTTTCTAGTTTCAGAGTAACTCAGCTACCCCTGTGAAGCAGTGTGATGGTAGTTACTGGTGAGAATTATTAGTCTCTGACTCCTTAGTGATAGCCCCGTGTGCCTGCAGGAAGTGTTAGTGTCTGTCCTTAGTCACCTTTCTCCTGGTCGATCTCTTTACATCCTGGGTATTTACTGTGTATCAGACTCTAAGGAGACACGGACATTCTCCCTCCTTTTTTCCTATTCAACTATAATTTTTAAATACACACAAATGCACAGAGGAGCCAATTCTTCCCTGACTCAGCCCAGAGCCCAGGGGTTCTCATCCCCCAATGGGAAGGGCCCTTAATTGCTGTTTACTCTTGAAGCTGGATAAATTGCACAGAGGCCCAGACATGTTGTATGCAGTCCTGTTTTTTTTGTTTGTTTGTTTTGTTTTTGCATGCAGATGCTCATTATCCCCTAGGGGCTGAGTGAACCCACTGGGATTGCCCAGAGCTATATTACTAACAGTGCACACCCCTGTACCACCTCTCGGCATCGGACACTGCTGCAGATGCTGGAGTGAAGGAGGCATGAGACACGGCTACTTGAGGGGGGCTTCCAGGGAAGATACTCACCTGCTCGATTAACCCAAGGCATTCCAGGATAGAGAGTAAGTCTGGGATTCTTTCTGCTCTGCACAGACCATAAATATCCCCTTGCCACAGGGATGAGATTGCTCCGTATCAGTAGGCAAAATGTGCCTCTTTCCTGGGTCTTCCCATTCCATATGATTATTGAGAGCTGCAATGTGTCTGCATTTTAGTAGCACAGGGCATCATTCAGGTGGTTTAGAATCCTAGAATCCCTGGGCTGGACGAGACCTCAGGAGTCATCGAGTCCAGCCCCCTGCCCAAAGCAGAACCAATCCCAACTCAATCATCCCAGCCAGGCCTTTGTCAAGCTGGGACTTCAACACATCTAGGGATGGAGATTCCACCCCCTCCCTAGGGAACCCAGCCCAGCGCTTCTCCACCCTCCTCGGGAAATAGTTTTTCCTAATGTCCAACCTAGACCTCCCCCACTGCAACTTGAGCCCATTGCTCCTCACTCTGCCATCTGCCACCCCTGAGAACAGCCTCTCTCCAGCTTCTTCGGAACCCCCTTTCAGGGAGTTTAAGGCTGCTCTCAAATCCCCCCTCACTCTTCTCCACTGTACACCGAATAAGCCCAAATTCCTCAGCTTCTCCTCATGGTCCATGTGCTTCGGCCCCCTAATCCTTTTGATTGCCCTCCGCTAGGTGTTCTCCAATGCATCTACAGCTTTCTGTTATGGAGGAGGGACAAATTTGAATGCAATGCTCCACTTGTGGCCTCACCAGTGCCAACTAAAGGGAATAATCACGTCCCTAGATCTGCTGGCAATGCTCCTCCTAATGCAGCCTAATATGCCATTAGCCTTCTTGGCTACAAGGGTGCCCTGTTGACTCATATCCAGCTTCCTGAAATCCCCAGGTCCTTTTCTGCTGAACTGCTACTTAGCCAGTCAGTCCCCAGACTGTAACAATGCCTGGGATTCTTCTGTCCCAGGAGCAGGATTCTGCATTTGTCCTTGTTGAACCTCATCAGATTTCTTTTGGCCCAATCCTCTAATCTGTCCTGGTCTCTCTGGACCCTACCCCTGCCCTCCAGTATATCTACCTTTTCCTGTATCTTAGTGTCATCTGCAAACTTGCTGCAGGTGCAATCCATCCCTTCATCCAGGTCTTTAATAAAGACTTTGAACAAAACGGCCCTGAGACATTCCACTTGACAGCGATTGCCAACCAGACATCTAGCTGTTAATCACTGCCCATTAAGACTGATGATTTCACCAGCTTTCTATCCATGGCCGTTAGGACCCACTACAGAAAATGTCCCCTGGATGATACTGAACAAAGTCCTGAAAAGCCAGCCGTGTGATAATACACATAGACTGACACCTCCTCCTCTTGTATCTCAACATTCTGGCTCTTAACTGGGTGTACAGGGACTGGAACTGTTAACTGACTTTTATCTCCTGGGAAGAATGGATGTGGAAGAGCTTCTCATGAGATTACCATGGTGAATACATAATTGTTCATAGCTTCATTCACCCTACACTGTTATGCCTGAAACAGAAAAACAAACCACACACACACACACACACACACACAAACCCTATTCAGTTGAAAGCAGAGATAGTGTGTGGGAAATTTGGAATGATTGCAAACAACTGAAGTAGAGCTGAAAAAGAGTGAGACAACTTTTAACTAAATGTGGTGTCACCAGCACACGTACAATTGTGGATCCCTTTGTGAACCTCATTCAGCTAAGCTCTTCAGTCCAAAAAAGTTTGGAGCAAAGATTTTGAGAAGCCAAATATGGATTGCGTAAGCAATTTTGAAATCCGTGTTATATGATCAAACAGTCAATGGATTTGTATGTTCCCTTGTATACTGTGTGGTATGATACACAGTAATTATAAATGACTGAAGGGATCATAAGATCATCCAGTGTGATCTACTGGGTAACACGGGACATTCAATTTCACACAGTTACCTCTATATTGAGTTGCATGATTTTCATGTCACTCATACCGTAGAATCATAGAAACACAACAGAAGAAGGGTTTGTTGGACATGTCCAGTTTTACAGAAACCATATTGTTAACGGGCATTAATGATATTCATAGACTTTTAAAAAAATCCATGCCACGTTTTCCATTGTTTCTGTTATTTTGTACTAATTTATATTTCACAGAGACCTGCCCTCTATTTGCCTCCTTTCTGAGGGAGGAGAGGTCTCTTGCCACTTGCTGCCTGATAGCTTCATTCTGGTTCTGAATGAGATGTGTGGTTGATTTGTCAGTGCATAACTCTGGTGCGTGTAACTCTAAGGTTCTACTGTACATGGTGTTTAACACCTTGCTGTGACAGCTAATACACTGGGGCGTGCTTCACCCCTTGAGGTGATCTGAGTACATCGTGTTTCTTTCCCAATGCAGAATCCTTAACAGATTTACTTTTTCGACAGTGTTAACAAGTTACCTTTCCCCCTCTGGACTCTCTCCAAAATATTTTCCAAGGTATCATTTTTCCATATACCCTTAACAGAGTCCTTTTTTTAGATCCTTAACCCTACCAAGCGTTGTCCTTGATTTCTACCATGTCTCCCGCCACTTTTCAAATTTTCCAATCTGTATGGCTTTGTATCTGTGATGGTGTGATGGCGCGTTGGGGGTCCCCCGTCTCCTGCACCCCGAAATGGCACAAACAGACTGCACCAGCCGGTGGAAGAGAGGAAGA